ACAGTACACGTCAGTTGAGCGCTGTCGCTCTGCGGCACTTGTTCTTTCAGCTTGTCGTATGAAAAAAGTGTTCGTCTGTGTGTGCAAGCATGAATTGACAGAAGTGCCAGAAATGTTTTATCGCAAATAGTTATTTCTCTTTCATGCACTGATATTATCCACTTTGTTGTGAATGAGACACGGTTTATTGAAATGTTGCATTATGTAGTTCTGCATGTTGTTCCAAATATTCTTGCACATATTTCCTGACACACGACGCCGGCAACAACTACATTTTCTACTTCTCTTCTCATCCGATAACTCCAGCATGTAGCTGCAGTATTTTCCGTGTTAAAATCTTTCGCATGTTACCTGTCACGTCAAACTGCTCACTGTTCGTCTATTATCAGCCGACATGCCATTACAGATAACGTTTCTAAAGAGAGACTAATTAAGCTGTACGGCCAAGTAGCCGAAGTTTTTCCCAACCGAAAAGTGAAGGACCTAGTTCCATTGTATAAGAAAAACCCGATGAAGAAAAATTGGCCAGAACATCCGAAGATGAGAAAACAAGCCGAGCGTAGCCTATCGCAAGGTGACGAGAGTGTTAGGAGTGTGAGAGCGACTGGGATGTGAGCGTTAAAGGGCATGCTGGCATCTCTCTTACTGGCTCAACGCGAACACCACCCAGCGTCGCGACGTGCAAGCTGTAGGTGCCCGTGTAAACGTCTAACCTCGAAGGTCATTTTCTGAAGGTCGGCTACGAATCGGGTCCGTTATTCGTTCACTTACACCGGGAAGCGCCGAACGACGACTCGGCCAGTCGCGCCCGTCGATCATGACAAATTTTGTTTGATTTGGTCAGACTAAAACACCCCGAGTTTAGCCCAGAGGTTCTGATTTCGTTTCGATTTTACTATGCTGCAATCTCAGATAGAAGATTCTTTAAGTGTTTTACGTGGGATATAAAAACACTTTTGAGCCAATGGCACAATTTTGAGCCAGGAACAGTAGATTGCATGTGACACAAGAGTAGACGTTTACACGGGTGCGTTCGATAGTAATGCTTATAACAGTCACCGTAGTTATGATAGGGTGGCATGCTTTTTCTCTGTTACTGTTATATATACTTATTACTATTATACTGTCATCTCATCTCTATACTGTACTATACTCTACTCTCTACTCTCTATACTGGCCCTCTGTGCCAAGTAGAACGTTGCATGCATGCAACGCGCCAAGAAAGGGTAAGTGTTACCACGTATCACACGAGCTTTACAGTCGTGGCAAGATTAACAACATTCGCATCTTTAGAGCACTCCTCCTCATCCACCTCTTTCTCCATCTTTTTATCCTCCTCTTTCTCTTCCTCCTCCTCCTCCTGTCTCCCCCTATGCAGCATTTCCGGGACAATGCATATCGCTACTCTAGGCAGACGTTAGGTTTGTTTCCATCGTCGTCATCGTGATTTTGCGTGTGCCCACAGAGCTGCTGCAGATCGCCGGGCTGGGAGATCGCAGCGCCCTCGGCCCCAACGTGCAGCGGCAGCAGGAGCAGGAGCAAGCGCGGCGCGCCAGCGACATCCTCGACTCCCACAAAGATGACCTGCTCATCGAGAAGAGCAACCTGCTCATGCTGGGACCCACCGGCTCAGGTACGCTCGCTTACTACCTGTGTTGAGCTCGTTACTACCTTAGTTATGCTCATTACTACCTTGGTTAAAGCTCGCACGCACGCGTTACCACCGGCTCAGGTACGCACGCTTGCTACCTAAGTTGAACTTGCGCGCTACGGAAAGTACGTGATTAATGCAAACACTCGTGCGTTTTTAGTTTTTGCATTAACACAAACATTGTAAAATATCCCAAATGACCACAATTATATTTGTAAATGTTTCTGTAAACAGAAACGCACTTGTGAATTGAAGTACGATGTTAGTGAAGAGAATTATAGATCAAAACCCTAGACTAGTACTATCGTAACTATGTTATGAAAGGGCAACTTATCACCCCTCCTATCTGATCTCAATATGGCGGCGGGGACTTTCCGATATATGGCTTGTTAACTAACCGACTGACGAGTTTGCTGTCGCTGCAGGGAAGACGCTGCTCGCGCAGACGGTGGCGCGCTGCCTCGACGTGCCGTTTGCGATCTGCGACTGCACGACGCTGACGCAGGCGGGCTACGTCGGCGAGGACATCGAGTCCGTCATCGCCAAGCTGCTGCAGGATGCTAACTACAACGTGGAGAAGGCGCAGCAGGGTAAGCGTCTCTGTGGGTGGGTGGGGGGGTCGTTCCCCTGATGATGTTCTGGGTCGATCGTACGCGGTCATCTGTCTCATTGCACATGTCGACAAACAGCGCCGCTGCGTGCAGGGGGGGAGGGAATGTTCCCCTGACGATGTGGTCCGGGTCGATCATGCAAAACGTCGCCTCGACGCGGTCGCACGTCTAGTTGCGCATGTCGACAAACAGAGCGTTGCCAGGCGCGTGGGGGGAACGTTCCCCCGCCGATGTGACGGTGGCCCGGGTCGGTCGCGCATAACGTCTGAATTTCATGTGGGAAAATTTAGACGGTTGAGTGGGTGCGTGGAGAATATACTTGTGTTTGTTTATTGAGGATAAAGAGGGCTACTTCTGTCCCGCCGCGTGCGAGAGGACTTCTTCATGATGATGTGACGGTGCTCCGGGTCGGTCGTGCAAAACATCTGGGGCCCGTTGTCAGAAACAAAATTAGTCGCAACATTAGTCTTAACATTAACTTCCACATGTTAACCGTTGACAGAAACATTGTAATGTTACGAGAACGAAAAATCCTCGCAAATATCCTCTTAACATTACGAGAGCCCAGACCCTCTTGTAACTTTAATATTAAGTTGAAAATAACACATTTACACTACGAATTACAATTATAGTGATATTATATTTTGTAATAATTAATAAAATGAATCAAAATCATTAATTATCTACCGCTAATAAAACAAAACAAAACATTTACAAATGGCGTATGGCATTTGTTCTCTTGTTTTAAAGGAATGCCAAGTTTGCCACGACTCTCGCGTCTCGCGTTACAGTGTGAGAATTTGTCTTGTTGTGCAGAATAAATTAATGACCACGTCGTTTTTCATCAAATATTATTTATATGTGGTTAGCCATCATAATATGCATAAATTACTGTGATGTACAATAAATGTGTATGAATTTGAATTTTTTGATCGGTTCTCATCCAATCAGCAGCCTTGTGATGAAGTTCCTGTTATCGTAAGTTTTCTAATAGCTGCGATGTGTTTCTGTCAATGCTACTCTCGTAACATTAACATTAGTCGTAAGTGTTATCTTAGCATTAACATTAGCATTAACTTTACGATGTTTCTGACAACGGGCCCCTGAATGCAGGGATGAGATTCTTCCGCGGATCCGCGGAA